CTCGCTTGACCAATGGTATGTGAAATTGCTGACGATGAGAGCGATTGTATTGCACGGGAATGAACCGAACGCCTGACGGTCGTTGGCCCCATTTCGCATTGGAGTAAACAAACCCCAGCCACGAGTAAACAACTCGATCTTTCTCACAGTGAAAGTTTCCGACCTGAATCAACTTCCCCAACAAGCATCCCGTTTGCATATCGGCTTTACACGGGGTTTTTCATTTATGCCATTCACTGCCATTCTAGTCATATGTAGAAAGCTGAACATCGTCATCAAATTACAGTATCAGGTCAAGGTAGGTCATTTGTACAACGCTGCACTCGAGGTAGAAAGACTCTAGACTCAAATGCTGTTTGGATTGCTCGTCTATAGTCCGTCCGAAGTGGATGAAAAGTGGGTACCAGATTAACAAAGGGGAACGGTGAAAAGGTGCTGTATTTTTTTTGAATAGTAGACGACGTAACGTTAAACTGTCCCTTGCCATACCTTCCAATCTTTAATGATCCTCATGCCGTGAACGTTGTTTAACTCTGTTGACATTTTCATGTCGTCCATCCAGCAACGTCTACGTGCCTTCAACTTCTCTACCTCAAAATAACGAATTGTATTTTTTCCCAACTCGTAATCCGTTTTCGTGACCTGTCAGAAAATGACAGTGTTGAGTGCCAAACTTTATATAACTTCGATTGATTAAACGTCCCTCCAATAGCCACTAAAGCAGTAAACGTACTGCTCTTTCTTCGACTATTCTTCCACGTCTTGCGTCCAGCGCCCCACGAACCATCCGTTCAGAAGATAGATGCTTAGATGGAGAAATGTCACCGTGTTTTTAAAGAATTGGAATTACTGCTAATGGAGTCCATCAGTTCATTCTTCCGGATTTGATTTTCAGTCACATCACTTTCCTCATCGCCGAGGAGGACCGACTGTTGACTCCATACAAAAACCGTACACAAATTCCACATAAGAAAAAACCGACATATCCGACCATAGTAACTAACGCATGACTGATACAAGACCAGATTTCACGGTTTATGACATCGACCTTTTGTTTTCAGTTGACTGGAGGCTGCCATTTGAATAGACCACGGCTTCGTGGTGCTTCAGCTCCTACGATGCCAAGTGCATTTCAGGTTTTTTAGCTAAAGCCATCTGGCACTCATGACGAACGATATTTCAGGAGCTGGTAGTCCTTATATGCTGCTGCGTAAGCATCTTATGGTGTTCATACGCCAGTATCCCAAATATCGAGTATCGCAACTCAGGACCTGATTTTACGTCATATTGCACTGCCCCCTGTTCCTAGTATGTGTAATAGTTAGTCTATTATGACACTATTGAGTACTTGTACTTTCATTAGCGGTAATACTGAAAGATAGCATACAAACTGTTGAATTATTTATAACGCAGAAGAGGCTTTTCTTCATAACATGCTAACTGTTTCTTCATAACATGCTGACTGTTATAAGCCAACTGTTTTTACGCTGTTTCATTATACTCAGTACACACTGTTAGATCGTGCACGTAGGAGATCAAGAAATACCATCCTCTCTCTCGTATAGCTTGTTGCTTGTTTTTGTCGCTTTGTCATGCTAGCACAGCAAAAGAAGAACAAACTAGACTTACTACGTCTAACCTGTAGAAATTGTGCATTGCATGGGCAAGCTGGACT